GTAGCATAAGGCCTTTCTCTTTTAGCTGCATTACAGTGGCATCTAGGAGGGTCTCTCACACATTCTTTTTCATCTTCTTCATCTGTAGTATCAGCCATTTCTTTCCCAGCCACATTAAGATGGTGTCTCCCGTTAGGGAAATCTTTCACAGGCTGCTCTTTGCCATCCTCCTCATCTGTACTATGAGGCGTTTCTTTTTTAGCCATATTACAGCGGCCTTTCCTGTTAGGTGGACCTCTTAAGAGTCCCCTTTCTCTTTTTTCCTTGTCTGTACTATGAAACACTTCTTCTTTAGCTACATTTTGGGGGTGTCTCCTTTTAGAGGAGTTTCTTGCAGATTCCCCTTCTAAAATTATAATAACAGCTTTAATTAAAGCCCATATAATCCAAAAACTAACTTGAATATCTTCTATCCTTCCGGCCTTTTCACCATTTTTCTGAGTAAAATATTTAAATCCGGTTTCTAGTGTCCCCTCATCTGGAGACCAAGGATTATATTCACCAACAAGCTCTAAATAAGAATGCAATTGCTGGGCCCAGCGCAATGGCGCAAGTGGTTAAGGTCCTCGCCTTGCACGCCCGGGATCCCATATGGGCGCCGGTTCTAATCCCGGCAGCCCCTTCCCATCCAGCTCCCTGCCTGTGGCCCGGGAAGGCAGTCGAGGACGGCCCAAAGCTTTGGGACCCTGCACCCGTGTGGGAGACCCGGAGTAGTCTCCTGGCTTCGGATCGGCGCAGCACCGGCCGTTGCGCTCACTTGGGGAGTGAATCACTGGACGGAAGATCTTCCTCTCTATCTCCCCTCTGTGTATCTGCGTTTCCAATAAAAAAAAAAAAATGAAAAATAAATCTTTAAAAAAAAAAAAGAATGCAATTGCTGCCTAGTTACCTTTGCTCCACTTTTCATGAAAAAATCCTGCATAAGAGAGATAAAAGACTGTGCCCTACCCTGGTTCTGGCCCATTGTTCCACTCACCACTTTCTGTGGGGGTCTCCGCTGCACTTTCTCTTCTTTCAAGCCTCTGTTCAGGCGCCACTTGTCACTGTCCCACAGTAATGGACTTGGTGCACGGAGCTGATACTAACACACGTAGACTATGACTGATGGTCAAAAGCCGAAGTTTATTAGCGGCATCAGACTTTATACACTGAGGGTCATATGGGATAAGGGAGGAAGTATTGAGCTCATCAACAAAACCCATCAACTATTTCTATACTTTTGTTTGGAACTGCTTTTGTTTTGTATATTCTACCAAGTGTTCTCATTCACATGTTGTCTACTCAACTGTTCTCACGTGAATGATATCCAATCAGTTATACAAGAGGTAGCCATTTGGTTGCTCTCATGGAAACATTATCCAATCAACTGTAATCTTGTGCTTGCTGACCTTCTAGGGTCACAATGTCTCCTACACAGGCCAAGCCAATCAGGGCAACAGGACATGTGGTCTGATGCTGGGCCAACAGGAAGTTTCTGCTGGGCACCAATGTCAGGAAGAAAGGTCAGTCTCGCTGTTCCCTCTCAGCCCTGTCAGGCTCTCTGCCTGCTAAGTCATGACTGTGTTGTGGTCAGAGTTTCCAAGGTTATTTAGCACAAACAGCTCTCAAGCTTGATAGTTCTTAGTTAGAGAACAAACATGACTGGGACTCTTAAGAGAGTTTGCTAAAGTTTCAGAATATAAAATTAACACACACACAAAACAACAGCTTCTGTATACACAGTTTCCTGGCTATTTGGTCCAGTAATATTATGCAGATAAATATCTGGGATGGCTTTCATTAAATTCCAAACCCCAAATATCCCTAACCCAACAGTGTCCCAGAACACAAGGAAGGGAAGAAAGAAGAGGTGGCTCATGCCCATATCTGCACAGTTGCAGTCTGAAGGCAGGCTGGAATCTTGGTCTTTTGTTGAGAGCCCCACCTGGTCTGTCAGGAGTATTTTCTTCATCAAATATTGCTACCTCGCTTGCTGCTACTGTCTCACATGTGAAATTAATTTCTTATTAAAATCAAATAATTATTTCTAACCCAGCTGTCTTGGTTAATGATGGACATTTAACTTCTACAATGCTTTATTTAAGAGGCAGTGGATGATGGTTCAGTACTTGAGTCCCTAACACTCATATGGGAGACACAGATGTGGTTCTGCTAGACCTAGCCCTGGCTGCTACAGCCATTTGGTGATTGAAACTGAATGATCTCTCTCTGTCTCTCAAAGTGAATGGATGAATAATTAAACGTGAATAGACTTAAGCATTTAAAACAATCTTAGGTTCCACAGCAGAGAATCAGAAATAAAAGTATACACATACTTCTTTGATACTCTCACAAGTTTCCCAACCATTAGTGTGCCACCCCCCCCCCCCCCTTAAAAAGATTTGAGATTTGTTTTGGGTTTTTTTTTTAAGGAAGGCAGAGTATTCAATCAGCTGATTAACATTCCAACTGGCTGCAGTGATTGGGGCTGGGCCAGGCTGTAACTAGGAGCCAGGAACTCCCATGTGGCAGCAGGGTCGAAGCACTTGAGTCATCATCTGCTGATTCTCCAACAGAAGGAGCAAGAAGCTGTATATGAAGCAAAGCAGCCAGAATTTAAACCAGTGCTTGCATATGGAATGCTGGCTTTGCAGGCAGTGGCTTAATTCATTGGGCCATGATCTGGCCCAGTCCTTTGTTAGCATAATTTTCATTTAGAGTTCATTTGATCTGAATACAACCTGTAGCTATCCTGTGGCTTTCTACTTGTCTTCCAAGAATAATCTGTTGCCTATTTAGTCTCAAAATATCCTTCCCTCAAAGTGATTTGTCAGGGAAATTGCTTGTGTGATAGTAGGTCTTCCTCTTCTCCTTAGCTCTCCATCCACTCATCTGCCTATCATCTCTGCTGTCCTGGCACCAAAGGATAATCAAGATTCTCATTCAGTGTTACTCTCATTTCTTTCTCTTTCTGTATGCTAGTAATTCTTTTAAAATTTGTCAGTTTTCAATCATCTTTAATTTACAAAAAAAAAAAGCAGATTCATATGATTTAACCTAACAGAAAACACTCATACATATATATACATTGACACATATATATCACTGAGAATCAGTAATTGTCAAGATTTTACCTCTGTTGCTTATCTCGCTTTTTATTTTTAAGTGCTGAATAATTAATTTTAAATGTTTAACAAACAACAGAACAGATGTTCTAGGAATAATTACAAAAATGCTCCAAAACATGCGTCGCATTCTTATTTGTCGTAGACGAGCAGCGGCACCACCTATGAGGCACACTCTTGAGGGTCTGGGAAAACAGGAACTCCAACCGGACCCCTGATTGCAAAAAAGCAGCGGCTTTTCTCTCCTCTCTCTGCTGCTCTTTTCTGTAGGTCTTAGCTTTTTTCTGCTGCTTTTCTAGCCCTCTCTCACTGCTTTTCTTCCTGTACGTCTTAGCTTTGTACCCCTCTCTGCTGCCCCGTTCTCCCTGTCCATCTCACTGCTTTTAGCGGCTGCTTTTATGCCGCTCTCCACCAATCACTTCTCCCTATGGGTCCACTCGGCGCTACCTGATAGGCCAGTAGCAATGACATAATCTCAGCGAGGGCATCAGCTTATCCCCGTGACTTCCTGTTTACCTGTTGGTGAGACCAAACCCGCCTCCTGGCCCTGGGCCAGCTACCATCCTGTGATGGCCTTTCCTATTCCTGGGAGTGGCTCTGGCACCCCACTCCGCTCCCCACACTTATTTATGGATTTTTCTTAGCATTTCAAAGTATATGAGACTTATTAACAGTTGGATTCTTGTTGTTGCTGTCTCTGAGTCAAGACTTTCCTTCTCAGTATTGCCTTCTGATTTCTGGAATGCTATTCATCCTAAGGCACACATGCTCTCCAGCATGCGGAATGACCTCAGTGTTTGCAGCATGCACTCTTTTTATAGTGGAGGTGAAGCACCATAAGATATTGCTGTGTAAAGCTGAGAGGTAACCTGGCCAAATCTAAACTTGTCCGCTTACTTCATGGCTTACCAAACTAAACACAAACAGTGTCCAGGGCTCACAGTGCTAATGCTAAAATAAATTCTAGACTGTCAGTCATTACACTGCTAAAATATACATTAATGTATCTCAAGAATATAATATTCTTCTTTTTTTAAAGGTTCATTTATTTTTATTGGAAAGGAAGGTGAGATTTAAGGAGAGGAGAACAGAAAGATCTTTCTTCTGCTGGTTCATTCCCCAAATGGCCACGACAGACGGAGCTGAGCTAATCTAAAGCCAGGAACCAACAGCCAGGAAGCAGGAGCCTTCTCTGGGTCTTCCATGTGGGTGCAGGGTTCCAAGGCTTTGAACCATCTGCTACTGTTTTCCCAGGACATTAGCAGGCAGCTGAATTGGAAGTGGAGCAGTTGGGACAAACAGGCACCTATATGGGATCCAGGCAATTGCAAGGTAGGGATTTAATGATCCAATAACTTCAATGCCATTACCATGCTTAATAATGGGTAGATGATAATTCATGGTATCATCTACCCAGTCCACATTAATATTTCTTTAGTTGTCTTAAAGTTGCCATTGGGATTTAGCGTTTATAGTCTTATGGGACAGGTGCTGGCTAAGATATCTGTATTCCATATCAGAGCAACTGAGTTTAATTCCTGGTCCTAACACGAGCATCTTGCTAATGTAGACTCTGGGAGGCAGCAGGCAATGACTCGAGTGACTGAGTCCCTGACATCCACATGGGGGACCTGGATTGAACTTCCGCGTCTCTGAGACTCAACCGTCAACTGGGGAGTCAGCAGAAGGGAGTTCTGTCTTCCTCTCAAACAAACATACCAATCATCTGATTTTACATATTTCAAAATATGCTTTTACATTTGTTAATGACGAGATGTCTTCAGCTACCATCATAATCACTCTAATAAAATGATTATAAAAAGCATCTACAAAATTGTTTATTCACATAGCAGAGGATGTACAATAATTTATCTATAAGTGATAAGCAGTACCTACAGCAGCAGTAGAGAATCCAGGGATTTCTGAAGAATATATTTTCTTCAAGAATTTTGTTCCAGTGCCAAGAGAACAGAGCCTCCTGTGGGCCAAAAACATGCTACAGGAGAGAAGGGAAAATGGGGTAAATGTGATTATCCCATCATCAACATACATTTATAGTAAACTGTTAGGCCACAAGCTCATGCAGAACATAAATACATTTTTTGAAAACTGAGTTTCATTCTCTCTAGTTTCCTTAAATGATATAACTCTCATCACTGTAAACTTTGTAATAAAGTTATTTCTCCTCATACAAATTTAGACTTCACTTTAGACTACAGATCTTTATAAATTCCTGAATTAATAAGAGAAAACCTTTCTTTAGTCAGGTGCACTAAATTTCAGTAAATATAGCTCTATTTCCAGCAACTATAGAACTCAAACTATTTCAATCCAGAATCATCTGGATAATACATTGTATCAGTATATTAAAGTTGTTAGAATAAGTCCTTTAGAAAGCAATTTGAAAAGATGGATAACAGTAGGTCCGTGACAAAAAGTCTTCATGCTTCAGCAAGTCTGCAGAAAAATGTAATTTAAAAAAGTCTATTCTGATGCAAAGTATATTTCTTCCTGAAATCCATGTAGCTTTTCTCACAACATGTGTTTGATAAGAATATTCTGAAGATTCCTTAAACGAGTGAATCTTAGAAAGCCCTTCCTGTTATAATCCTGCAGAGAGTTGGCAAGCCCTCTCAATAGATTCCACAGGCGTGCATCCTGAGCTGCTTCTCCTCCTTCAAGGAAATTATCAGTTATGGACAGATGTAGGGAGACCGGGGCAATGCACTCCACTGGCACTCTGGCACTCAGAGGCACAAGGAAATCTAGCTTTCTAAGAACTGTAACAGGGATGTGTTCAGAGAAAGTCGTTGTCTAGAATGTATAAGGCTGCTGTTTCTGTGGGTGGCATCTTCTTTAACAGTTATTCAAACCTGAGAAAAGGACAAATTCTGCATGAAACTGAAGAAACTGCAGATGCTAACTATGAATGTGTAGGTAACAAAGCATTAAGGCTACAGAAAGCTTTGGCTGTGAAAACCAATAGAGTGTGTATTTTTTAGAAAGGAAAATATAGACTACTGCTGTTAACCTCAGTTTTTGTGATTGTTTTCTACCTGTTCAACTTCATACAAGCCTAATATTAATTGTCTACAAAGCTGGAGCAGGCATGGTGGCTCAATAGGATAATCCTCCATCTGCAAGAGCCAGCAGGCTGTCTGTCCAATGGTTCTAGCTTTGGGTGTTCCACTTCCAATCCAGCTCCATGTCTATGGCCTAGAGAAGCAGTGCAGGATGTCCCAAGTTCTGGCAACCTGCACCCATGTGGGAAACTGGAGGAGGCTCTGGGCTCCCGGCTTTGGCTCTGGCCATTGAGGCCACTTAGGGAGTGAACCAGCAGATGGAAGATCTCTCTCTCTCTCTCTCTCTCTCTCTCTCTCTCAGTCTCTTTCTCTCTGTAAATCTGCTCTTCAAGTAAAGACAATTAAACATTTCATGAAGAATTTTTGTTTAACTCATTAGTTACTCATTCACTGAGGCCAAGGGGCCTCCTTTAGCAACTTAAAATGCAAGCTCAAGGAAGAGAATTGCTTGTGTTAAGTTTAGCAATGAGGGCATTTTCTGTAATGAGGTAGGCATTCACTGAATGATTAAATAAATGCATAAAGCCACAATATAAATTAATGACTTAAGTGGGCTGTTTATGAGAAGAATGTGTTCATAAAATACTTATTCCTTTTGTAAAAAATAGTAACCCTTTAACACCTGAAGTCCAAGAATAGGTTTTTACATCAGGTCATGCTTTTTCTTGTGACACTAACTGTTCTATCCTAGAACAAAATATGACAGTGGGGCTCACTTTCAGGAAAGGAATTAGCAAAAACAGTAACTATGCTGAAACAGCATGTATGTCACAGAGTTCTTTGATGCAAGACAGTATTTTTCTCAGCAGCAAATGTCCATTTATGCAAATAAAACAGATTCCTTAAATATTTTGGGGGGGATACAGATATAAGCAAATATTTTCATACACAAAATGTTTTCTTAAAATTAAATCAGGAAGGGCCCAGCAGCGTGGTCTAGTGGCTTTAGTCCTCGCCTTGAACGCTCCAGATCCCATATGGGCGCTGGTTCTAATCCCGGCAGCCCCGCTTCCTATCCAGCTCCCTGCCTGTGGCCTGGGAAAGCAGTCCAGGATGGCCCAGAGCTTTGGGACCCTACACCCGCGTGGGAGACCTGGAAGAGGTTCCTGGTTCCTGGCTTCAGATCGGCGCAGCACCGGCCCTTGTGGCTCACTTGGGGAGTGAATCATAGGACAGAAGATCTTCCTCTCTCTCTCCTCCTCTCTGTATATCTGACTTTGTAATAAAAAATGAATAAATCTTAAAAAAAATTAAATCAGGAAACCTTTAGAATTCATGGAAAACTGGGGACATGGGTGTGGAAATGGGGATAAAAGAGAGAAAAGGATCAAGAACCAGGATACCTGGATTCAAGCCCTCATTGATACTAAGATGAGGTTTCTAACCATAGGTAAATTGCTGGCTTTTGCTGGAATGCCATTTTCGTATTTTTCAAAATAACTGTATGAATGAATGTGTCCTCAGCCTGAAAGGATCACACAAGGAACTGTTAGGTCACCACAGAAGCTCTCCCCCAGGCTGGGTGAGCCATCTCCAGCCACCAGGTCAGAATCTGGAACTGCACCAAATCTACCTGCTTTCATCTGGAAGTCCTGCTCCTCTGTCTGTAGCACCTCATCCCCATCACACAATACATTCTCCTGGAATATGACCCAGCTCTTCCTTCTTCTAGTTCCAAACCTCCCACTGTGTCTTGGGGAACAGCTGCAGCAACAGCAGCAAATGTCGCCTAGTTTTATGTTCTCAGTGTTTTGTCTACTTTCTTGGTTTACGTTGAACCTTATTGCTCTCTGAAGATAACATGTCCATCTTCCTTAGCGTGATTTTTGTGTGTGATGAGAACACCTAAATTCCTTGCAGTTTCAAATGTACAATTTATTACTGTCAGCTATAGTTGCCAAGTGGTATCAATCACCTCTTGCTATTTGCCATTACTAGGCTATTTACTCCTCTGAACTGCCTCTCCGGATGTTCCCTCCTGACCTGCTGATAACTCTGCTCACTGTCTCCCAAGCATACCTCGCACCTCACCATTTTCTCAATCTGGTCTACACCCAAATTACTACTTGTAGCACTCTGTAGCGCTTCAACTGCACAACACCTGTTTTTCATTCAATTACTTCATCAAGTTGCTTAATTACTGCAACTATCAGTATTCACCAGTAAAATCAACATCCTCAGGAGGCTGCTCATGTTTTCCCTGTGTCTCCCAGGTAAGAAGATGGCAGTTCTCCTCTGGACAGTGCCCCGCCTCCTTGTCTCTTATCACCTGTCTGTAACACTCTTGTCTTGCCTGAACTCAGATATGATGTCTGTATGGTTCATGTGGCTGGGCTGCTTGAGATGACATTAGGTCTCTAGACAGCATTGCCCACGGGTGCAAGGTAACTAATCCTAAAATGACAGCAAAAGTTCCTAGCACTTTTAATTGAGTTTTGAAAACACCAATATGGGCCTGGCGGTGTGGCCTAGCGGCTAAAGTCCTCACCTTGAATGCTCCAGGATCCCATATGGGCGCCGGTTCTAATCCAGGCGGCACCACTTCCCATCTAGCTCCCTGCTTGTGGCCTGGGAATGTAGTAGAGGACGGCCCAAATCCTTGGGACCCTGCACCTGCATGGGAGACCTGGAGGAAGTTCCTGGTTCCTGGCTCCAGATTGGCACAGCACCAGCTGTTGCGCTCACTTAGGGAGTGAATCATCGGACGGAAGATCTTCTCTCTCTCTCCTCCTCTCTGTATATCTGACTTTGTAATAAAAATAAATAAATCTTTAAAATAAAAAAAAGGAAACACCAGTACTTCTTTGCCATATTCTGAAATGACTATTTTACTTTTCCCCCCTAGATTCTTTTATCTTGAAACCCTCTACCCGCCTTCTCAGTCGATTAGATGGTCCTGCGATGAAGATTCTTCGATATCATCGTGGATAGACAACAATATGAATTTTGTACAAATGTACACTGTATTCTATCCTTTAATTTTTTGAAGATTTACTTATTTGTTTGAAAGGCAGTTACACACACACACAGTTACTGACATCCTGCATCCTTTAGTTGACTTCCCAAATGGCCACAATGGCTGAGTCATGGCCAGGAGCCAGGAGCTTCTGATGGGTCTTCTCTGTGACTGTAGGAGCATAAGGAAGTGGACCATATTCTACTGCTTTCCCAGCTGCGTTAGCAGGGAGCTGGACCAGAAGTGGAGTATCTGGGACTCAAACTGGCATTCAAATGGGACACAAGTGTTAAAGCCTGGTTTAACCACTTTCAACACAGGGTTCAAACACTTTCAACAATGTCGGCCCCTGTACTTTGAATTCTGACCTTTTCCTGGCTAGTGATATGCAGTAAGGGCATGGTCTTAGGGTGCTGGGAGAGTAGTGTGCCACAGCTCTCATTCAGTCACATGATTCATGATGTCAAACATCTGATACCCCACAGTGGGCTGTGTGCTAAGCCATGATGATCTGTAGCTCATGTGATTTAGATAGGCTGCTGATTGAAAAAATATTCTCAGCTTAAGGGGGCTATCAGAGATGCAACTGCATGGTCAGCTAAGAAACATCTGTGCTTTGACAGGATTGTCTCCCACCTCTGCAGAGAACTTGTTTAATGAATTACTTTCTTGTATATTCCACTTGCCTTGCTCATGCTTCTTCCAGCTAACTAACAACAAAACCTCAAATCACCAAAAATGAAACTCAAGGCTCTCCCTTCTCTCCTCTGTTGCTCATTTGATCAGCTCTCACCTTCTTCTCAACCTCTGCACTCTTAACTCTAGCTAGTCAGTTCTTTGCTTCACATTGTTCAATTCTCACACCTGTGCTTTCAACACTCTGGGCCAAGTCCTCACTTCTCCCAGAAAAATCATGCTGCCTTGGCTTTGGACAACACGGCAATCTCTCCCTTAGTCTGTGGATTAATTTCTCAATACCCACACCCAGGCTCCTTCCTTCTCACCTATTACTTTATTAGATAACCTTGTTGTGAAAGGATGTGTGGAACACAGGTGCTGAAAAGATGTTTCCCAAGAAGTCTAAGCAGGCTGACAGATACACAGTCTTTGAAGCAAGTTTCTCTTCTTTGATTAAGCAAATTTTGAACAGCATTTTTCTATTGCAATGAACATTGCATATATATGTATATTTACTGATAAGCTAAGCAAATTTATGCAGTTGGATGTCATAGATAAACTTGGAAAGATCAAAAGAAAGCCAGGCAAGCTGTGATTCAAACACGAGGCAAGAATAATCTGTAGTAAATTGAATTGTCCATTATCACAGTAATAGACTGCCTAACCTGGGGATTCAGAAGGCATGTTTGACAGGTGTGCAGCTGATCTGAAACTGAGAGACAAAATCAATCAAGAGGATTTAAAAAATGTAAGGAGTTAAAACAAAGTTTAAAGTTTTGAGTTGAAATCAAATAATTAACTTATAAACCGTTTGTGTTTGGGGTGAAGAGGTAGAAGAATTCAGGTATTTTGCTAAACGGAGAACGTGGGGTTAACTACAATTTTAAAGGAAGCTATAGAGGTGAAAGTAGCAGAGGCTGGTGCCAGTGTACAGCGGGGCCTGTTAGTCAAAGAAAGTACCATGTTCACTTCCTGCTGTTACTTTGTTTCCAGAATGTGAAGGCTCACTGCTACAATGGAAGGCATCCTGGGTTGAACAAGGTCTAGGCTGGGGAGGGTTAGGCCTCAAATCCACGTCGTTAGGACAAATATTAACCAGCTTCGTGGGCAAAGATTTACGATGACACCACCCTAAAGCCGCCAGAAGGCTGTCCTGGGAAAATTACAGATTTTCCCAAACAGGAAAGTGAAGTGCCGGTGAATCCCACACAGCTTGATTTGCAAAATCCAGAAGCAACAGACTGGACTCCTTTTCGCACTAAAAACCTGTATAATCCAGCCAGTCACTGTTATTTCCTTTAGACTGAATTAGAGAAGGTCAGGCTAAGCCAACCGGAGCTGCTGTTACTCTTCCAGGTGGTTTTCTAAATGTGAGAATTACAAGGGGCAAAGAACAGGCCCGAGGTTCAGGGTCTAGGAGGTCGTTTCTCTCCTTGTCCTTCCCTCTGCGGAGCAAACTGCGGATTGCGGCTGGACCCTCGGTTCCCCCCAGGAGGGGTCGGGGTCCAGCCGCTGGCTCGTGTCCGGTCTCAGGGTTCCAGGGAACGAGTCCGAGTCCGCACAGAAATCCAGTCCTGGCTGTTGCTCCCGATCCCGCCTGGTGCCGGCCAGCTCCCCAGAGAAGCCCTCCGCACGCCCGGGCCGCGAGTCCCACTCACCTCCCTCGCTCCGACTCCGGGCCTGGCGGCGCGCTTGGCCGGGGGGCGGAGACTGGACGTGGATTGACGTTCGGGGGGGTGGGCCTCAGGGTGCAGGTTGGCAGTGGGGTGGTCTGAGATAAGGCACTGCGCTGACTGGAAACCAGCCCTGTGGGGTGCAGGGTGCCTGGCTTGGGGACTGAAGAGGCGGGATGTGGCCGATGATTGGCTCTCGGATCTGGACCCAGAGCACGGATTGGCTGTGGCATCGCCAGGCTCCTGCACTGGACCAGGCTGGCAGGGGGCGGGATCAAATTAGGGTCGGTGTCTTTGGGGCCTGAACGTGGTTGAGGCTTGGCTATGAATTTTACATTGCAGGCTGGGATTTACTGTTTGGAGTGGGACAAGCTTTGAGACAAAGACTGATATTGAAGGCTGGAGCAAAGCTGCTGGGCCACCAAACTTGAACAAGAAGAGGGTTAGAAGTAGAACAATTTCACAGGGTGCAGAGAAAAACCGGGCTTTTTTTTTTTTTTTTTTTTAACTCTGAGGGGAGGGAGCATGTTTAGAGGAACCCAATGTTTGGAGTGAGAGGATTAAAGAAGTGTTCTTGAGTTATTTCCTGTTGTGAGTTTGAGAAATCTATCAAAACTCTTGCCTGTGGCATACAGACCTGCGCCGAAGCCTACAGGGAAGATTAGGGTGGATTAGTCTTGCGTGCCTGTAACCTAGGATATGTGTTTATCAGGACAGCACATGCAGTGAGTGCTAGAACTGGGCCTCTGCCTGCTCAAATAGGTAGTGTTGCTTAAGGTATTTGTGAGAATAGCACGTGCAGGCAGTAATACCAGTGGCATGCCTGAACTCGGCGTCTGGCTGGGCAAATACACAGATCTCATCGTTCTGCTTCCTGTAACCTGGAGTCCTGTCTAACAGTGAGCCTTCCGGAGTCCTAGCAAAGGTGTTTAGAGCTGGAGTTTGGAGAAACGATGCCAGTCCCATCATTGCTTAGGTTTGCAACTGGGCAGGTAAAGAGATGAAGAAACATGGTGGGACAATAAAAAATCTCCCCTGTACGCTTTCTCTGAGGCATTGGCAACTTAGGAAGGATCTAAGAGAGGGAACCCAAAGAAGGAGCCATAGAAGGAATATGGTGCGAAACAACAGCTGGAGGGCCTGTTTCTATGAGGTCAGAACACGTGTGGCACTATAATGAGGAGTTCAGAGAGAAAAGTCGCCTGTTTGCAATGGGATTCTCTAAGGTCTGAGCTGGAACTAAAGGGTAGCTAGCCAACTGACAAGCGAAAGGAGACCAAGGGTCTGGGTCTGGGGGCAGATTGGGGATCCACTGAAACATGAGCCTTGAGCTCGCAGCCTTGCCAGTCTCACCAACAAGCTGATCTCCGAGGAAAGAACAGAACGTAGTCATCCCCCCACACAACACTTTAATAGACTTTTGGAGTTTGGTGTTCCGTCAAGGAGCCTTCTGCAGGACTTCAGAGTGTTAGCCCTGGGCTGAATATCAAAATTAGTGCAAGCCCTCCCCCAGTGTCACATGACTGGTCCACTCTGGGAAGGAAGCTGACTTCCCCAGACCAACATTCTCAGATGTGAGAGGAAAGGTAGTCTGGGCTCCAGGGGGTTGCACCTGTTTGGTCAGTAAGCCTGACTCCTGAGTCTTCATTCTGGCAGCCACGTTTAACAGACAGGAAGCTGACGTTTCAAGGAGAAATCAATGATTTCATCATGTTTATACTGTTAAAGGGAGTCCAGCACTGAGATGAACAAGACCTGGGTTGTTGTCACACACAAAGGTACAATTTCCATACAGACAATTTCAGTGAGCACAGTGAAATTTGTTTAATTTGGAAACCTTGTGCCTCAGCATCAGGAAAGGAGTTTTCAAGAAAGAACCATGAGAGTGGTGGAAGTGGTGTCTTTCAAGCACAATTTTGAGATGAAAAAAAGCAAAAACAAACAAGCAAACAAAAAACTTCAAGAAAAGCCAGAACAGTAGCTGTCTAGCTTGCTCAAAGTAAAAACCCAGAAGAAAGGTGTGATTGGTGGCCGCCTTCTCCCACTGCCAAGAAAAAATAAGCTTCAGGCTCTATCTCCTGGCTTTCTCAGGATGAAACTGGAGGCTCAAAGCTGTCAAGGTACCCTAGCTACCTGTTACCCTAGCTACCTGTTTGCCCATTTGACATCTTACAATACCAGCCCTCACCATCAATCTGATGCTTGTTCTTGCTTCAATTTTAACAGCATTTACTCTGATAGAGACTTTTTGCAAAGTGATACTTCTTAGTATTCCTTGCAACTGAAAGTAAATTCCATTCAGATATGTTGTAACAAGTTAGAATGAGTTTATTTTGGTATTACTAATTTTTGAAATCCATGTGTACAGGGCTGGCATTGTGGTATGAGGGTTTAAGCTGCTGCCTGCAGTGGCAGTATCCCATATGGATACCAATTTCATTCCTAGCTTCTCCACAGGGATCCAGCTCCCTGCTAATGCACCTGGGAAAGCAGTGGAGGATGGCCCAATTACTTTGGCCCCTGCACCCACATGGAAGACCTGAAAGAAATTCTTGGCTCCTGACTTTAGCTTCTCTGCAGCCATTGTGACCATTTGGGGTGTGAAGCAGAAAATAGAACATCTTGCTCTCTTGCCTCTCTCCTCTCACTGTTTTTATCATCATCATCATCATCATCATGATCATCATCATCATTTTATGACACAGTTCCATTGACCCTGGGATTTCCTTTATGTTCTCCCCAATTCCCTCCCCCCCTCACTGAGTTCCCCTATATCATTACTAAAGCATGGTTCCTCAAACACAGTCATATGCCCATCATTGTGGGCATGGACAATGGCAGAGAGTAGACCACTTATTGTCAAGATATAGTGAACAGTTTCACTGGGAGTCCATCTTTAGTCTGGAAGTAGAGATGCATACTGCGTTGTATCCTCATATCTGGATATGATAAGCTCCATTACACAGTTATTGTACATCCCATTGCCATGAGGTTAAATAACATGCTACTAAATGACTGTGTCATTGACAAAATGTAAAAGAAAATCAAGAACCTTTTTGAGGAAAATGATGCTACTGTATGATCTATGAGTTACTGAAGAATTTAATCAGAAGAAAGTGCTTCGAAGAGATGAAACTAACAAAAAAATCAAAATCCATGTGATGTAGTTTCTGCTGATCTTTGTTGGTAAAATGTATCTCCTGTAGGCAACAAATAAATGGGTTTTGTTTTTTAATCCAGTCTACTAATCTATGATTGATTGATGAGTTTAATCCACTTACATTCAAGATTAATATGAATGGGTAGTAATTTGGTCCTGTCATTTTAGCAATGGGTTGTTCATTGATTTAGTCTTCTGTTGTTATTTTTTTGGGGTGTTCTTCGCATTTGCCTTTGGTTTTGGTGGGCACTATTCCTTTTTTCTGTCAAGAGAACATCTTTAAATATCCTTTGCATGGCAGGTTTGAAAGAGGCGTGTTCTTTTAACTTTTCTCTACTGTGGAAGAATTTTATTTCATTTTCAAAGACAAAGGAAAGCTTTTCTGGATACATTATCCTGGGCTGACAATATTTTGCTTTTAGAATCTGGAATATGTCACTCCATTCTCTTCTGGCCTGTAGACTTTCCTATGAGAGATCTCCTGTGAGTTTAATTGGCATTCCTTTGTATGTAAGTTGATTTTTTCACGTGCACATGTAAGGATATTTCCTATGTTCAGTTGAAGAGAGTTTGGTTATCTTGTGTTGTGGTGACGATTGCTTTTGGTCAAGACTGTTTGGAGTTCTGTGCCCCTCCTGGATGTTGTTTCCCAATTCTTTCTCTAGACTAGGGAAATTTTCCCTTATTATTTCATTAAATATATTTGTAAACCCAGTTTTCTTTTTTCACCTTCTGGGACTCCCGAAACGCTTATATTTCACCTTTTCATCATGTTTTTCAATTCTTGAATACTCTTTTTAGCCTGATCCAGCTCTGTTTCCAGCTTTTTGTTTGTTTTTCCCTAGTGACAGGAAATATCTTCCAATTTTGAGATTTTTTCTTCTGCCTCCTTCATTCTATTTTGGAGACTCTCCACTGTACTTTTAATTTGCTCCACTGTATTCATTTCTGATATGTCAGCTTACATTTGATTCATTTCCTGTGTGACATATTCCTTAAATTCCTTGAGTGTCTGCTTTATGTGTGTCTCATTGTTGATAAGAAGTTTTATAACACGTGGTTTGAATTCTGTATCGCTCTCTTTCTCAATGTCTTCCTCAGTTAACTCTGAGATTGGCAAAGGGTTTTGCTCCTTTGCAGGGGAGTCTTCAGTAATATTCATTGTGCCTTTGTCTTTTTTTTCCCTCTTGGTCATTGTACTTCTGGTTATCATATTCTTTTCCTTGGGGCTGTTTTCTAAGCTGTGTCACCCATAGGTCCACAATTCCATTTCACTTATTCCGGTTGGTACACAGCTCTGTGTTTGCAGTCACTTGTGCCACTCCCTCCAGTGAGTTCCAGGTCTGGGTTTTATGTTAGATTTCCATCATGGTCTCTGTAGCCCCAGCTCCTGGCTCACCACATTCTACCCCCTTGATACTGTGCTGAGGCTGCACTGTTGTCTGTACAACCTTTCTCCCAATTCTGATTGGAGCAGGTCCCAGATTAGGGAGACACCAGGTGTCCTATATATATCTAGGCTGTAGGTGGTGCTGATCTTGCCTGAACCTGTTGACTGTTAAGTTTGAGGGCCACACGGACCTATTTTGACCTATATGATGCCATAATAGGTATTATTTTCCTGTGGAACCAGTGCACTGAGCTCAAAGAGTTCGCTCCTGGCTCAGAGCATGCGCAGCTCACTGTTGCCCCCTGCAGTCTTACATTTTTTTGCCACACTGTAAGAAATGGTTCCTAATGTGCCACTAATAGAGTTCTTGATCTGCTGGGCATCAGGTCTGAGGGTTACCCGGACCTATATTGCATGGAATATGCCACATTGTTGCAGTTTACTGAGCCAGAAATGAGTTCACTCCCAGCTCAGTGCATGCACAGTCCTGCCCCATAGCCTTTGCCTCCTCAAATAAAATGGTACCCGATATGGCTCTTAGAGGGCGGACTGGGTTGTGAAATCCACCCTGTTCCC